CTATTTGTAAGGCCTCGTTGGACAGCCACTTTGCTTTCTTGCATTTCCTTTTCTTTGGGATGGTTTTTGTTGCTGCCTCCTATACAATGTTATGAGCCTCCATCCATAGTTCTTCACTGTGTCCACCAAATCGAGTTCCTTAAATGTGTTTTTCACTTCCACTGTGTATTCATGAGGGATTTGGTTTAGATTATACCTGACTAGCCCATTGTTTTTTCCTACTCTCTTCAGTTTAAGCTTGACTTTTGCTATGAGAAGCTGATGATCAGAGCCACAATCAGCTCCAGGTCTTGTTTTTGCTGACTGTATAGAGCTTCTCCATCTTTGGCTGCAGAGAATATAATCAATCCGATTTCAGTATTGCCCATCTGATGATTTCCATGTGTAGAGTTGCCTCTTGTGTTGTTGGGAAAGTGTGTTTGTGATGACCAGCTTGTTCTCTTGACAAAACTCTATTAGCCTTTGCCCTGCTTCGTTTTGAACTCCAAGGCCAAACTTCCCTGTTGTTCCTTTTGTCTCTTGATTCCCTGCTTTAGTATTCCAGTCCCCTAGAATGAGAAGAACTTTTTTCTTTGGTGTCAGTTCTAGAAGGTGTTGTAATTCTTCATAGAATTGGTCAATTTCACCCTCTTCAGCATCAGTGGTTTCCGCATAAACTTGGATTACTGTGATGCTGAAAGGTCTGCCTTGGATTCGTATTGAAATCATTCTATCATTTTTGAGATTGTATCCCAGTACAGCTTTTCCCACTCTTTTGTTGACTATTTTTTTACCTGACATCTTTTCCTCAGTTCAGGCTCACAAGTTGCTTTCTGGGTTTAAACAATGAAAGAATCATAGAATATAGTTGGAGCTTTACTGTACAGCTTGCAAGGAGTGGTCTACCGGAGACACGACTACTTGTAATTTCAGTAGTGTTCCTCTTGAGTAGAGATGGGCCACGAAACCCGTGGTTCGTGATGGTTCGTGATTTGTGGCTACCCAATCTATGACAAACCACCACCACCACCCTGAAAAACAAACCAAATTGTGGTTCCACTTTTCAGGGTTCTGCATGGAAACTGGGCCTGCCACCTGTGAGCATGCACCCACCAGGCCTTCTGTACATGCCTGTTGGCGACAAGCACATGCGCACATACAAGGAGGCAGGCCTGCTGCCCCTCAGGATGGCAGCAGCAGCGGCAGAGGTGGCAGTTTCAATACAAGAAGAACGAAGTTCCATGCTTCGTTTCATTTCAGCAAAATGGAATTCCCAAACCAAGCCACGAACCAGTCCAATTCATGCTTTTTTTTCTGGTTCCTGGTTCAGTTTGTGCCCACCTCTGCTCTTGAGAGGAAACCCTTCCTAAATATTACTGGTGAAACCATCAGGTTTCTCATCTTGCCTCCTTCTGTTACTGCTAACGGGTGGCCCCTGACAGATGTGGGGTCTTAATATATGGATAGAAGTAGGTTCCAGCTATCAAAACGGATGGCTTCATTTTCCCCTGTAAAAAATCGGTCTTCGTTTGAAGCAGTTCCTTCTGTTTAGAAGGGGCCATCATAAAAATTATTCGCTTCTAGTTACCACTGAGAGCTAACGTGTGGTGGATAAAACCCTGGATTAGAACTCCAGAGACTTGGTTCCAAAACCCTGCTCCGTCATGGAAATTCACTGGGAAGTGGGGTTGAGGCGGGGGAGCAATGGTAAAGCATTCTGTGACCACCTCGCAGATTTTGGAAGCCCTGGTAGGATTGCCAGAAATTGGAAGCAACTTGACAGCATGTAAGAACCACCAGAATTCTCACAGTTTTCTTCATTTCTTGCCATTCCAGTCACAAATGAACATGGTTCCAGAGAATGTCACTACCGTGAAGGCGTTTGTCCTCTCAGGCCTCACCGCCGATCATAACACCGAACTGGGCCTCTTCATTTTCTTCACTGTCATCTATGCCTTGATCCTTGTCGGCAACGTCCTCATCGTGGCCACAATTGTCTACGACAAAAACCTCCACACTCCCATGTACTTCTTCCTCAGCAACCTCTCCTTCATCGACGTCTGCCATTCTTCGGTGGTCATCCCGAAGATGCTGGCCGACTTCCTCACAGAGACAAAGACCATCTCCTTTGGGGAATGTATAGCCCAGATGTTCTTCCTCCACCTCTTTGCCTGTACGGAGATTTTCCTTCTCACCATCATGGCCTACGACCGTTACGTCGCCATATGCCACGCTCTCCATTACACGACCATCATGAGCGGGCAGGCCTGTCTCCGCTGGGCTGCGGCCATGTGGTTGGGTGGGTTGCTGCATTCCACCGCCCTTACGGCCCTGACGCTCAATGTGCCCTACTGTGGCCCCAATGCCATTGACAACTTCTTCTGTGACGTGCCCTTGGTCATCAAACTGGCCTGTGCCAACACGTTTGTCTTTGAGGTACTCATCATCTCCAACTCTGGAGTTATCTCGGTGGTCTGTTTTATAGTCCTGGTGGTCTCCTATGTGGTCATCCTAATTTCCCTGAGGCAACGCTTCTCTGAAGGACGGCGGAAAGCTCTGTCCACCTGCGCCGCTCACTTAACCGTGGTGACTTTCTTCCTGGGCCATTGCATTTTCATTTACCTCAGACCTGCCAAGAGTCTCCCTGCGGACAAAGTGGTTTCTATTTTTTTCACGGCTGTCACCCCACTGCTGAACCCCATCATCTACACCCTCCGGAACGAGGAAATGCTGAATGCCTTAAACAAGCTGCGAGGACGACAGGTCGATTTGGGGGACAAATGACATTAGGACAGACCTGGACACAAGTGCGACCTGAGGGCCACATATGGCCCGTGAGGCGCTCCTGTCCGGCCCGTGGACAGTTTTGAACATCAAAACCATTTCTAGCTTTTTGTCTGAAGTTGATCAGTTGCTTATCTTTAACATACTGCAAAAAAACTCTTTAGTACAGTATTTGTGAAGATTAACATGTTTAAAATAAAAACAATCATAATATCACTGTTTCATTTTATTTTTAAGTAAAGTTGGTTCAGCCTCCAAACACATTTCAGATTTTTCATGTGGCCCCCCTATAGAAATTAATTGTCCACCACTGCATTAGGAGGAAGCAGGGAAGTGTTGGGTTGGGTCCACCTCCAAAGGCGAATTGGCGTTTGCCTCTCCAGAAGCTTGGAGTCGGATTTGGATAATGAAGCTTCCAAGAGCACTCTGTTAGGGAAAAGAAACCTTGAAGCCCAAGATAACAAGTTACACGGTCTCTTATCTGATAGCTTCAAATCCTCCCCTTTATAAGCAGAGCAAAGACACGGTCATATAAGGAAAAACACAGAGAGAGTTCTGATAAGACTCGTAGCATAATACAGTGGTGCCCCGCATAGCGATGTTAATCTGTTCCAGGATTAATGTCGCTATCCGGATTCATCACTATGCGGGGGGGGGGAAAACTCACTGTTATGCGGGGAATCCTCCATCCGGCCGCCATTTTCACCAGAGCACTCTGTTAGGGAAAAGAAACCTTGGAGCCCAAGATAACAAGTTACACAGTCTCTTATCTGATAGCTTCAAATCCTCTCCTTTATAAGCAGAGCAAAGACACGGACATATAAGGAAAAACACACAGAGAGTTCTGATAAGACTCGTAGTATAATACAGTGGTGCCCCGCATAGCGATGTTAATCCACGTAGCATAATACAGTGGTGCCCCGCATAGCGATGTTAATCTGTTCCAGGATTAATGTCGCTATCCGGATTCATCACTATGCGGGGGGGGGGAAAACTCACTGTTATGCGGGGAATCCTCCATCCGGCCGCCATTTTCACCTCCCAGTAAGCAAGGGCAGGGCGCGAAAACACTGTGGGTGGCCATTTTGTTGACCCGGCGGCCATTTTGGAACTGCTGATCAGCTGTTTGTAAAACATCGCAATGCGAAGATCATCGCAATGCGATGTTTTCTCTATCTAAAACATCACAATGCGATCGCATTAGCGATCGCAAAAAACGTGTCGTTATGTGGATTCATCATTAAATGGTGCACTCGTTAAGCGAGGCACCATTGTATATTAGACTTGATATGTTAGCATTGGTCAGACATATATACATGGCATTATATACACAGGTTTGTGAATAGATCTCTCAGAGCAACATAACATTCACAGAAGTAAAGTGACCACCAGACTCACAACTTCTACTGTGCAGCTAGAGAAATTTAACCAATATTCAAAACCCTGCAACAGAATGGCACTCAACTATTATCATCTGCCTACATTCTGGCTTCTTGCTATAATTTTTAAAGTATGGCATTCAGATTGTCATCAGAGCTGCTTTGCCTGTGGATTCCTGCTTAGACTTGGGTTTAACTAGGCAGCTCTTGGAGTGTCTTCCAAATCTATAGCTCCATTGTTTGATGAATGAGAAACTTCAGAGTGAACAAGTGGTCAGAGAGAAATATTTTGTGTCCTTTCCTGACCTCCAGAGGCTTCATTAGAAGTTGCTTTGCAAGGCTGAAGCTGTATTCATTTATTTGTTTTATTTATTTTATCCTACCTTTCTCCTAAAGCAGGACACAATGTGGCTCACATCATTAATAGCAAAATATTAAAAGCTAAAAACAGTAAATTATTCAAATATTAAAGAAAAATTATTAAGGTTATATTTAAAAGATCAGATAAAAGCAAGAGGAAAAAAATCAGATTTAGAAGCAGCAAAATATAAGCCATCCCGTTTACTGTCTTTTCCTAGACAGTCAGCCACTAAGGAGAAATCTGTCTGAAGAGAAAGGTCTTTGTTTGCTTTTCGAAAGACAGCAAAGATGGGGCCAGCCTGGCTTCCAGTGGGAGGGAGTTCCAAAGTCTGGGAGCAGCCACAGAGAAGGCGCTCTCCCGCGTCCTCATCAAGTGTACCAAGATCACATTTATACTTTTTTGCCACAGGTTTGATCAAGGCAACTGGAGCCCTTGAAGTGGTTTATCCAGCCCATCATTGTCAGCTTTATGGTACAGAAATCAAGTAATCTTGAATCTTCTACAAGGAACTGACACATATTTTCCTGGTAGCTTTACAACCGCCTCTGGGCCTCTTCTAATTTTGCCCATGAAAAAGAGGAGCAAAGTCCATGAGAGCAAAGATCAAACGTAAAAACCCAGGGATGTAGTCCAAGAAAGTCTATATGAAACAAGGAGGATCAGGGGACTGGAAAACAAGCCCTGTGAGGAAAGGTTGGAAGAACTGGACAGGTTTAGCCTGGAGAAAAGGAGGCTGAGGGGAGATAGGATGGCCCTTTTCAAGAACTTGAAAGGCAGAGGGGTTTAAGATCTCTTCACGATCATCCCAGAGTGCAGGACACGCAACCATGGACTCAAGTGACAGGAAGCCAGATTTAGGTTGATTATCAGGGGAAAAAAAACTTCTTAACTGTTAGAGCAGAACCACAGTGGAACTCATGACCTCGGGAGACGTTGAGCCCTCCAACGCTGGAGGCCTTCAAGAGAAAATTGGACCGCCATAAGATCTGCTTCAATTTGGATTCCTGCACTGAGCATGGGGTTGGACTCGATGGCCTTCTAGGCCCCTTCCAACTCCCTTATTATAAGACTATTCTAGGATTCTATGAAATAAAACCTTGTTAGATTCTGAGGTGCCACAAGACCCATCGCCATTTTAACCTCATCGTTCAATATCCTTGTTTGTGTTTCTCCTTGTTTATCAATCCATTTGCATTTGCTATTTCCATCAGAGCACAATTTACCGTATTTTTCTGTGTATAAGACTCTACTTTTGTCTAAAAAATTAGACTAAAAATTGAGGATCATCTTATACACGGAAGTAAGCTGAGGAGAGAACAAACACAAGTGGAGGGGAAAGCAGGGATCAAAGCGATCCTGCAGTGCTTTGATCCCTTTCCCCCTCTACACTTGCTAAGCCCCACTTAGATTTCTTAATTTGGGGTTAGAAAAGTGGGGGCGTCTTATGTGTGGAGGCGTCTTATACACGGAAAAATACAGTGGACTTCCTAGTGCATCAACGTGTTTCGGACGGTGGCAATCAGATGCGATCATCCACTCGGTAATCCTAGATTTCAGGATTTATGGTTTTGTAACACCCTCTCTCAGGCAGATGGCTCCTTCTTTCCTTACCTTCCTCATGCATTATTTCCCTTGGTACTGACAAGTCTCACAATAGTCTCACTTTCCATGACAAGACACCTGCTCATAAAATCTTCATTGAAGCCATAGACAATGATTACATTTAGATGCCTCCAGCACAAATTCACACACGAGGAGGGATACATCTGAATAACTACATGCAACGTAAAGCCAATGACATGAACACAGGTAGGGCAATTTAACAGATGAAACCCAACTTATATTGGACTGGATCAAAGCTGAATCATGCTTAGAGTGGAAAAATACATCACAGATAAACTATTAGAGATGAAATTCAATAATATTGGTGACTGAGGTGATCTTTGGGGCTGCGAAATCAGACTTCAAAGAAATCTCATGCTTTAAGACCAATCACTAAGCAAAGCAAGTTTGTTTCCATACTCTTACAGGTGACAGAAGCTCCCTCTGTGACATTCAGATGCTTTCGTCAGTTAAGGATTTACCTCTTCTAATCACGGACTAACTACAATGTCTGTTTTTGCTTTGATGGCAACTATTGTGTTCATCATGTGGTAATCCTGGGTAATTAGTTCCTCTGATTTCAAAAGGTTGACTCCTAGTATGGGTAAATAGAGACACAGGAACTGTTATAGACACAGACTACATGTATTCCATGTAACTTTGTATTAAACAGTACAAATAAACTAAAAAGGTTCAATGGCATAAAACTAAACAAGAGAAATAAGTCTGATGCCAAAATAAAAATATCCTTCCTGGAAGGAAAAATATAAGTTTCCAAAGAAGTGGCCATGTTGGTCTGTTTTAGCACATATAGCAAGAATTCAGCACATATAACAAGAATAAAACGAGAAAACTTCTGTGTCTAATATTGCTAGAGATTCATATACATGCTACATGCAACATGTTGCCTGCAGCTTTAAAGTTACTCTTTTTGTTCTTGTTGTTACTCACCTGTAGGCATCCTTAAGTGCACGGCATCGGGACTAGGTTAATGGAAGGGGAGGAAAACCCCTCCATTGACATCAATGAACCCTCTCTTTTTTGGCCCCTATGGCAATGGGGGGGAGGCTTGGGGACCAATCAGGCGGAGGTCCCCCAACCTAAGCACCCCAGGCCTGTTAAGAATGAGTCCCTCCCTAGATTACCTAATTTTAAAATAATAATACAGTGGTGCCTTGCTTAATGATTGCCTTGCTTAACAAGGAAATCGCCTGACAATTAGGTTTTTGCGATTGCAAAAGCGATCGCTAAACAATGGTTTAAATGGGAAAAATCTGCTTCATGATGATCGGTTCCCTGCCTCAGGAACCGATTTTCGCATTACGATGATCTAAAAACAGCTGATCGAGTTTCAAAATGGCCACTGGGTGTACAAAATGCCCCCCACTGTTTTCTAGGACAGATTCCTCACTTTATAGGCAGTGAAAATGGCCGACCCTATGGAGGATATTTGCTGGACGGTGAGTTTTCAGCCCACTGGAATGCATTGAAGGGTTTTCAATGGGTTTCAATGGATTTTTTAAATTTCGCTTAATGAGGATTTCGTTCTACAGCGATTTCGCTGGAACGGATTATCCTCGTTAAGCGAGGCACCGCTGTAATAATAATAATAACTTTAAGCTGTCCAGAGCTTCTCCACCAAGCACCCTCTACCTAAGTGGCCTGTTGTCTGAACAGAGAGTGATGATGGAGGTTGATTCCCTCTTACTCATAGGCCAGAAGGCACCTTGACCCTTCCCATTCCAATCTTGTCTTCAAGTTTTAGCAGGTCCCAAGATGGTGGCAGTCCTGGAGATTTTCCGAGCCTCACAGCAACTAAAAATCTTTGTTTGCTTCCTCTTGTATTCTGCTGATACATCCAAAATCCAGGTGATATCTCTAGAGGCCTACATCTCTCTTATTAGTATTTAAAATGGGAAGCTTTGCTTTCTGAAGGTATGCTAACCTACTGAGCTGCATTGGATTCTCTCTTTCCCTTTCTCTCCATCCACCAATTTTTTTCTCTCAGCGCCACAGAGCCGCTCATTTCTTGAAAGAGAAGACCTTGGTGCGGCCTCTGAGTTTTTTCATGGAGCTCTTCATCTCTTCATTCCTCAGGGTGTAGATCACTGGGTTCAGCATGGGGGTCACCGCGGTGTAGAAGATGGCCACCATTTTGTCCATGGAGAAGCTGGAGGAAGGGCGAGTGTAGAGGAAAATGCAAGGTCCCAGGAACAACAACACCACCATCAAATGGGAGACACAGGTGGAGAGGGCCTTACGACACCCCTCAGCGGACCGTCCCCTCAGCGAGACCAGGATGACAATGTAGGAAGCCACTAAGGCCAAGAAGCAAACCAACGAGATGGTGCCACTGTTGGAGACGATGAGGACCCCCGTGAAATAGGTGTCAGTACAAGCCAATTTGATCACTGGAAGGACATCACAGAAAAAGCTGTCAATGATGTTTGGGCCACAGTAAGGGAGGTGGATGGTGAGGACGGTCTGGACCAGCGAATGGATGGTGGCACCTACCCATAAGGAACCCACCAGCCAGGAGCAGACCTTCAAGTTCATGAGAGACTTGTAGTGCAGTGGGTAGCAGATGGCAACGTAGCGGTCGTAGGCCATGATGGTGAGGAGGAAGATCTCGGCACAAGCAGAGAGGTGGAGGAAGAAGACTTGGGCCATGCATCCCCCAAAGGAGATGGTCTTCTGGAGGAAGAGGGAATCGAGAAGCATCTTGGGCGCCGTGACTGAGGAATGGCAGATATCAATGAACGAGAGGTTGCCCAAGAAAAAGTACATTGGGGTGTGGAGGGATCGGTCATGAGCCACCGTCACCAGGATAAGGAGGTTCCCCGCTAGGATATTCAGGTACATGGCACAGAAGATCACAAAGAGTGTTAGCTCCAGTTCCCGGTTACTGGTCAGTCCTAAGAATACAAAATGGGTGACGGCGGTGTGATTTAGCCCTTCCATTTCAACAGGGCAAAAGGAAGCCCATGGGACCAACCTGGAGAGAGAAATATTCTGCTTTTATATGTACAAATGCGTACCTAGAGAATTTTTTAAAAATGCTGCAACCCATTCATATCCTGGATCTACGATCATTCCTATGAAGCTGAGGACCTGGCATATTTCAGGAGCCCAAAATATTACTGCCTGGGGTTAAACCAATAAAAACATGATTGAAAGATGGTATTTCATGCTCCCTTTTCTCACATACTCCTGCTTTTTTGTACCTCCTAACCTCATGATGCAGGCACATATTCATGACATTTTAGTTGGACATAATAATCTAACAGGCACGGATGGATTCTAGCATGGCTAATGATTTTATCATTGTATTTTTTTACTTACTTACTTACTTACTTACTTACTTACTTACTTACTTACTTACTTACTTACTTACTTACTTACTTACTTACTTACTATTATTTATATGCCCCCTTTCTCCCCACCCAAGGTGGCTGACAACAGAAAATGCTATAAAACAAATATGGTTCTAAAACACTGTATATCCATAGTCTATTAAAAAACCATTAAACCTATGATAAGATTAAAAGCCAAGCTTAAAAACAATTTTTAAACATTTTAACATTGTGTTTTGTTTTACATTTTTCCATTTTATTTTATTTTTCCTGGGTGTTCTGTAATAGGTACCGACCTGGCAGATGTTCTAAAGAAACAAATATAGGTTGTATTTGAGACTTGTGATCTGAAATAAAATCGTAGACATTCTTCTTAACCCTTTAACTTCTTTGCACATGGGGACATTTTTAATCCTGTCGTTAAAGTTTGAGGAGTTGCTTTTAGAACAAAATCATGGACTTAAGACTTCATCACCCTGCTTTCCTGCTCCTTTACAGTTCTAGAACTAATAGCACTAAATAATCATATTTACATACTAACATTTACAATGGAAAATTATGCAGTACTGGTATACATGTATTATAATTAGCCTTATTTCCTTCTCCACTCGTTAGTTGTTCATCCCCACATGAGATGCTGGAAGCCCTGGATTTGATTATTGGCATTACTAGCTAAAAGATCTCCAACAGTAGAGCTAAGAAAAATCTTTTCCTAAAATGCCAACGCAAGAGAGAGCAATACCGGATACAAAGAAGCAAGGGCTGAATCCAGTTTTAGTTCCAACTAGAGCAGACCCACTGAAATTGACAGGATTTACATTAGTGTTGACTTGACAAAGCATTCATTTCTCCTGGGGTGACCTTGTCAGGATACAGATTGGATTTTAGCACCAATCCGACTTTACAGATCTGTCTATCTTTCTGTTTATGCATCCCATTTTTTTCACTTCAGGAGTGGTGCTCGGAGCAGCTTGCAAATTTCAGAAAACAGAATACAAACCATAAGCAGAAATTACTTGGTCATAAAATTGTAAGCCACACTCACAGGTTCAAACAACCCTCTGTTCATCTGGTTTGTACCCTTCTGTCCCTTTCTATATGTGTAAAAATAATAAAAATATTTTCACTGATTTTGGATTCCCGTATATGACAATATATTCTCATTTCAGATTATATATTATTTCTATGAACCAAAAATATACCGGATCCTGCAATCCTCAGAAACTAAAGTATCTATTGGATGACCAGTTTTCTATGATAAACTCCAAATGCAAAAAATGGGTGATAGCTTTAGAGACTACTAAATAATCATCATACAATGTGCAAGCTTTTGTGAGCCAAACGCCACTTCATCAGGCTTCTACTGGTGTGGAGAACTTAAAATCCAAATGTTCATGGCAGGATGGATTTTGCCAGGAAAATTACACTTAGATGCTAAGTCCAAAAAATTTTAGCAAGATGGATTTTGCCATGGTTTTCTATGGAGGCTGACAGTCCCCTTCATCACAGGCAGGGCGCATTATCCCAAATTACTAAGCATGCAATCAGATGAGGAGAAAGGATCATATCTCGTGGCATCGGAAAAGCACACCTTACTGGGAGAAATTGCTCCGGTCCAGTTCCCCCACAAATGTAAGCTTGCTGCTAGATAGCAAAGGGCACAGATCGGGGTCAAGCTGGTTTGCAGTCTCAAACACGTCGTGCAATCGCCAAAAAGCGGATCACATTGGACTGTTCACAAGCAGTCTGATCACACCCTCGCTCGGCACGATTAGGGTGAGACAGGGGCTGTAAACAACAAACTCACTCAGAAATACACAGCTTCTCAAGTACTGTTGGTGAGAGTTTTTGAATATCCAGTGCCAGGAATAGAATTTTCACTTTTCTGCCTTTCCTTCTGCCCGACCTCACTGTCTATGGATCTAATTTCTAAGATAATGTCTTTAATTGTTATTGGAAATATAGCTAGAGTACAGATGTAATTAAGGCTTACCTGATACAATTAAGGAAGAACCTATTCATGATGTCATGCTCGCTTTTTATTAAGGTTTCCTCTTTAGGGTCCTTAATTCGCCCATATTTTCATCTATCATCCATATATAGCTGTGGGTTCTTTGACCATTTCGCCTTAGAAGATGACAATTAAAAAAAATGAGGAAAATCTTGAGACATGCTAACCTTCTCATATTAATTAATCCCCCAAGGCTTTGTTTCAAGGTTTCCAAGTTTACAGAAAGTTTTAGAGAGACTTTGATAAATAATTGGTGAAGAAAGTGGATTTCCCCAAGGAGGAAACAGACCTCAGAATCATTACTTCTTTGGACTACAATTCCCATTCCTAACTAGGGGGATTCTGAGATTTGTAGTCTCAAAGGTGATATTTCCCAGCTCTACAAGGAATAAACACATTTTAGTGGTCAATGTGTAATGGCAAATTCAAGTCTATGGGACATCACATACAAAGTTTTCAAAAACGAAGGCCTCCCTTTGTTGTTAGTCCGGACCGGATGAAATTCAGATGGAGCATCTGGAACTGCTTTGTAGCATCTTACTCCTTGATGCCTTTGAATTGTGATGCTGGAGGAGGCTCTTGAGAGTCCCCTGGACTGCAAGGTGACCAAACCTATCCATTTTGAAGGAAATCGACCCTGAGTGCTCACTGGAAGGACAGATCCTGAAGCCGAGGCTCCAATACTTTGGCCATCTCATGAGAAGAGGAGACTCCCTGGAAAAGACCCTGATGTTGGGAAAGTGTGAAGGCAAGAGGAGATGGGGAAGACAGAGGACGAGATGGTTGGACAGTGTCTGCGAAGCAACCAACATGAAATTGACCCAACTCTGGGAGGCAGTGGATGACAGGAGGGCCTGGCATGCTCTGGTCCATGGGGTCACGAAGAGTCGGACACAACTAAACGACTAGACGACGACTCCCAGATCATATTGCTCTCCCTTTTTGTCTATCTCCTCTGCCCTCTCCCCATCTATTTCACTTTCTCCTCCATTCCTTCTTTGTTTTACTGATTTGTGGGGTATATAGAGATTCAGAATGACCAGGAAAAAATGCCCATAAGGAAGGGTCATCATGAGTCAGCCTGCCATCCTTCCAAGGTCGTAAAATGAGCACCCAGCACAAGAGGGGAGGAGTTGTTTGCATAATTACTGTATATACTTGAGTATAAGCCTAGTTTTGCAGCACATTTTTTGCTGAAAAAGCACCCCCCTTGGTTTATACTCGAGTCAGTGTCAAAATTACATGTTCTCCCCTGCAGTGCGGGTGTTCTCCAGACTTCCCCGCTCATCTACGGGCACCTGCAGCCTCTGTGGGTGGTCTGATGACCCAGGTCAAATACACTGCATTTCCGCTTCCAGGACACTCCCATCCTCCTCCTTCTGCATATTCTACGTACTCACCTTCCTCTTCCCACCTTCCTCCTCCATCCTCCGTCTCCCTCCATCTTGTTACGTAGCAGTAGAGCAGTAGATGAGTGCAGCATCCAGTATGAGTCCTTCCTCCACAGGCAGTGAAGTGCGTCTTGCAGTTAAGAAGGGCAGTATCTTCAAAAACATTTAACCTACTGATGCCTCAATTAATGTAAATTTATTGGTACAGTGGTGCCTTGCATAACGAGCGCACCGTTGAACGATGAATCCGCATTGCGATGCGGATTTCCCCATTGCTAATGAGAGGGCATGCTCGCATTACAATGGGGGAAACAGGTTTTCGGCGGTTCCAAAATGGCCGCCAGACACCCAAAATGGCCGCCGGACACAAAAAATGGCCACCAGAACACAAAAATGGCCGCTGGGACACCCAAAATGGCCGCCGGAACATGGGAAAACATCGGAGAACGATGAGTTTTGGGCCCATTTGGAACGCATTAAATGAAGTTTAATGCGTTCCAATGGGTTTCCCCGTTCCACTTAACGATGTTTTCCCATAGCGAAGGTTAATCCGGAACGGATTAACCTCGCTATGCGGGGCACCACTGTATCTATTTTTATTTTTGAAATTTACCAGTAGCTGCTGCATTTTCCACCCTCGCCTTATACTCGAGTGAATATGTTTTCCCAGTTTTTTTTGTGGTAAAATTTGGTGTCTGGGCTTATATTCAGGTCGGCTTATACTCGAGTATATACAGTACGTTGGGATTCAGCAGAGTTTTCACTGCAGTACTGCAGTTTAACCGGTGAGCCACAGGGCTCGATGGTCCATAAGTGAAAATAATAGCAACGACAAACAGCCACCACAAAGTGTGTGAGTCAGCATGGAACAACACAGCAGTTAGATCCACCCAAGCGATCCTGTGCTGGAGCAAATCAGAACAAAGCAAAACATAACAATATACCACCAACTGGTAAAGATGTAACAAAACCCACAGGAAACAAAGGTTTATTTGGGGGAGGGTTGTTCCACTTTGACTCTGTTGACACTAGTTTTCAGCCCTGCATTGTCCAGATATCAGGATGTAATGCTAGCATCATGGGTGGAAGGAACGTTGATCAAACACCCAGTTAAATCCAAGTCATGATGAAGCTGAAGGCAAGATAAAGACAACCACGTAGACAATGGAAACAAAGGTGGCAGAATAAGCATGTGGTGGTTTGTGGGCAGCCAGCTCCTGTCTTCCTCA